AATTGCCAAGAAAAATCATCGGTGCATATAAGTGCGAAATTTTGGTTTGCAACTGAAAACGCCTTCAACACTAATTCCCTAATATGTAATGAATCTCAATGAATGTCATTGTAGAAACTGTGGTCTAAATATGTCTCAACAATGGTACCACAAATTGGGAGCTTCAACAATGATCAATTTGATAATCTCAATTCAAAATTCAACACTAATTTGCAATGTAATTTCGGAATGTGACTGCAATATTCACCCTTTGAATAGTTTTCTACTCGACTAGCAACAATGGGTAGAGGTGGGACTGGCATTGAGGCAGTGGCGGTGGTGGTGGTGATGGCCGGCCGCTGCGTAGGGGTGGTTTTGGTTTTGGGGTGAGGGGGGTTGGGGAAGAAGGAAATGGGCGTGAGTGGTTGTAGTTTTTTGTTTTTGATCAAGAGAAATGTGTTTTATTCGAAATCCTCCTGCTTTTTTTGGTCAAAATTATAAAAAAATTCACTTTGGGGTCAATCGGCGGTTTCTGGGGTCAAACTAATGAAAATTGTCATTTTGGATTTCATCTACGAATTTTTTAAAGGTTTGGTACTTTGGATGGTACAAATGAAAGATTTAGGTCAAGTCCGTTCCTAAAAGAAAGGTTTGGTACATTGGCTTCAATTATCCCCCATCTATTATAAGATCCTATATTGATAATTACAATATGCTAAACCTACGTCCAAACTCCTAGAAATAAAATGAATCACTTATTATCTAATGATGATCGAACATCCAACTAATCAATATAAAAGTGTGATACCTATCAATCACAATCCATACTTAAAAGATGAAGACTTTGAATTAAAACAGTTAATTAAGATTTACATCATCATCCCAACACTTAAGGATTTAGCCTAGCATGCTAATTATACAAAAACAACAAAAGTATGGATATTTTGATCCTCGATTTCATCTTTATCTTATGTTCAAGTCCTTCTAATTGCAAGTTTAGCCCTTTATCTTTTTGGTCCCCTTCTAAATTATGCACGAATCACATTCTTTTCGCTTGGATTTGATTCCTTTTCCCCAACTACCATCTAACATCGAGTTCCACCTAAAAAAAATAATATTTATACAAAATTTAACAATAATATTCTAAAAGTATTCCCAAATTGCCACTTTTAATAGCCTTAGTAAGTGTAAAAATTACACTTATCAATGCACAACAGAATACAAATAATTTCAAAATCCGAAAGCTGGATCACCTTTTCTAAATAGAAATAGTGATAGAAGGTATACATTTAATGGTTCACATCGGTTAGAACGATTTTAAATATAATCTACCACGATCTCAGCAGTTTATCTCTGCCTGAATATCCAGCCTCTAATAGAAATCCACAGAATATGAACAAATTGAAACTCCACTTGCATGAGGAGGATGTGGCGTCAGATTTAAAGAGAATTAAGTTTGGAAGTTTGCGTGACGTTTCTACAAACCGTAATCCAATTAGGATTAGTAAAACCCTTAGCCTGATTTGACCAAGAAATAATTAATCTTATTAATTAAGTCCCTGTTTTGCTCTCATTAAAATTATAATACATTTTTCTCTCTTCTTTTCAATCATATATTTTTCAATAAAATAATATTTTTCATCACATCAATAATTTTTCCTTCTTTTTCAACCACATATTCCCATCACATTATATCAAAAAAATACATTCTCTCATTTTAATATGCACCAAACAGAATCTTCAATT